ATTGCTGGCGAAAGTAAAACTTGAAGCAATCTCTGTATAGAGGGCAATTTGACGACAGTTTTCAAAATTGCAAAGGTCCAGATCCTTTGATTCAGCAATTTCACTCAAGGGAATTTATTTCAATGCATCTGAACACCTGTGATTGAAAAGGAGAAAAATGCTTGAGTCAGGTGTGCTGGTGCATGCCTTTAATATCCCAGCACTTGGGAGGCAGAGGCAGGCAGATCTCTGTGAGTTTGAGGCTGACCTGGTCGACACAGTGAATTTCAGGCCAGCTGGGGCTACTTGGAGACCCTGTCTCAGAAAAACACCAAAAAAAAAAAGGAGAAAAATGCCCATCCCCAAATGACAGTCATCCATTTAGTGGAATTCTATACAGCAATGAAAAGGAACACAGGTACATAATATGCTGATCTACAATAATCTCCAAAATAAATTGGGATAACCAAGCATTGTAGTGCACATCCATAATTCCAACACTTGGGAGATGGAGGAAGATCAGGAGTTCAAGGCCAGCTTTGGCTACAAACAGAGTTCAAGGCCAACCTGGGCCACATGAGATTCTGTCTCAAAAAACCAAAAATTAACAATAAAAAATAGATTGGGGGAGGAGGAATGAAGCAAAATTCATAAGTAATCCATGCTCTTTGTGTGTAGAAAACGGAATAGTAAGTTCCAGGTCAATCCTACATAGTGAGACCTTGTCTCAAAATCAAACCAAAACAGCAATAGCAAAGTCCTCACAAGGATTTACCTACTTGTAAGTCATAGAGTAATTCTGGAAAGCTAGAACAGAAACAGGGCGACTCTGGGAGACCTTTTATCAGATGCTCATTTGAATGATACCAAGATTTCCCAAAGTTCCTTGATGCTGTACTTGAGCTCAGGCAGGTGAGCCGTAATCCAGCAATCCTGATGGACTGGCTTCGGGGCCTGGGTCCCCCTTGGTGAAGCCTGATTTCCTCCTACACCCTGGGGGCAGTTAGTGGCCAAACCATCCACCATTCTTCCTGGATTTGTCTGCCGGGCAGCTCAGCATCCACCCAAAGGGCTTTCTTCCTATTGATCTCACGTTCCAAGGATCCTGATGAGAACTTGAGGCTGCAGCAGGTTTCACAAGCTCTTGGTGGTGGGAGGGCTGAGGCTGTCCTCTTAGGGTGCTCCCATTCTGGTGCTGGGACTCTCATGCCTTTCTTCACAAAGCTGCAGGCATAAGTTTCTTAGGGGCCAAAGTGCAGGAAGCCCTGACAGGGCAGGTTTGATGGCCAGGTGGCCACTGGGCCCCACTTCCCCTATGGCCTCCTAGCTCTCAGCCACACTCCCATCCTCTGCAGCGCTGCCTCCATGGCCTGGATCCCTGCAGCTGGGATACACACTGCCCGGGATTTACAGCCAGCCTCCAAGTAGTGCTCCCACCTCACTGGGATGCTGGCCCATGGATGATGCCTGGGCCCTGACCTTCACCAGATCATCCTGCCATGAAGGTGTGGGAAAAGCACGGAGCTAGGACACAGCTGTTAAGGCCCCGGCTTCAGTATTCCCACGGGGTCAGATCCAGCCCAATGGCAACTAGCTCCTTTTTTAACACAGCTCCTTGGCCAAAGATTTCCTGGAGCTGGGGCCACAATGAATGTGTTCTCACACCTCCCTGCATGCTAACTTCCAGCAACCAGGCCCGAGTACCCGGTGGGACCTGCCACCTGCACCACTGTTGGGGGTTGTCCCCAGCCCGGTTTGTTCTAATTGCCCTCTTTTCAGAAGCCTTCCTGAACGTGTTCCATAGCGACCTAACTACTGGAGCTGCAGTGACCTCATGTGCATGCCTGCCTGCAGAGTCTTCAACAGAACAGTGCTGTCACTACCTCTAAGGTACAGAAGGCTTCACATGCCTGTAATCCCAGTACTAGGGAGGCAGTCAGGAGGATCTGGAGTTCAAGGTCTACCAGACTGAACTTACTGATATACACACAAATGGGCATGAGAATAAAGGTAAAAGATGAACTGCACTTACTAGGGGCTCACTGCAAGGACAGGGCCTTGGCCAAAGGAGTCTGAGGCTTAAGGGAAGTCAGCAGTTCCACCAACACCTAGAGTTCCCTGAAAGTCCTCAAAGCTCACCAGGTGGTCCATAGACAAGACAGGAACAAAAAGGATGCAAGGAAGGTAGCAGACATCAGACCATGCTTAGTACAGGACCTCTTGCTTTTCCTAACCACTCGGCTTCTCTGGTAAGCTCATGCTGAGCAAAGCCTTCAAAACCCAGGTGTCTTAGGGAAAAGTTTTTCTGTAGTGGTATAGACCATTGCCTTTTGCTCAAAAGGCTGGATCTGGGTGCTAGGCTCTCCCAGAGCACCCATCATACAGAGTGGAGGCCCCAGGAAGTAGTTTAGGAAAGGGCCACTCTTGAGTGAAGGCAGCAGGAACAGCATGGGTGTCTGTGAGGAGTACCATGTGGTTTTAGTGCAGTTTTCCTGCTGGGAGGCTGGTGGGGGCTGACTGAGGAGACACTGAAACACCAAGGCCGCTGCCACCACCGGCTGATGCAAGTTTTATTGAGACATTGTACAAACAGGCCATGGAAACAAGGGTTTTTGATGCTGGGACCAGTAACGTAAAATGGAATACAAAAATAAAAAGGCACTAATCTGTTAAGAAAAGACACTCGATGTATTCTAAGAATATAAGTCATTTAATACTGTTAATTTTATAGCACAAAATAAAACAAGCTATGATCCCCAAAAATAATTTTAAAAGCTTACACAGAAAATATTATTGCCTGAAGGTTATGATCTTTAAGTTATACATGTCAAAAGAGTTTTATGTTGTTTTAAAACACACAGTGAAGACCGTCTAGAAGCAAGGCCACTGTTCCTCCTGCAGGGACAACGATCCTGTCTCAGAGAACTGTCCTTCTGCTCCTCTAGAATATACAAGCAGCTCAGTGTCCATGCTGACAGTTACCAAGGACATGGTTCTCTGGTCCCAGTGTGGAGTATGAGGCAGAGCTCAGTGGTGTCCACAGAAAGCATTAGTCTTAGGTACTATGTTAAAACGATCAAGAATTCACTCATTTTCAGAGGTTAATGAACATAATATTAAAAGATTAAATTATAAACACCTGGAAGAAAAACACATCATCCCTTTTCAAAAAAATAAAATGTTCATTATTCTTCTGAGCAAATGTTACAAGAGCAGTGGCCATCTGTCTTGGCCTGCTTTGTCTGTAAACAGCTGTAGAGGGAAGGCCAGCACAGTGCCAGGGTTTGGGAGTCCACGGAGCGCATAGCAGCCTCTTCCGTGAGTGCAGAGGGCTCTGAGTCTCAGTGAGCAAAGCCAATGCTCTCTGTTAACCACACATCAGGCAGCACCAAAGCAGTGCAGACAACGAGGACGCCTTCTGCACTGGAGGTCCTGACTGGAAGGCAGGTCAATGCCCTCAACTGTATATAATTGCTTCCTTCTCAGGTGAAAAGCCATAGTGAGTTGATTTATCATCCCAGTATTTTCTACAACAGCAGAGCAGACCACATAACAATAAAGATCACAGAAGGAAAGCCACCCCTGGGTCAGATTCCCACTATACTCAGAGGCACAAGTGTCCTCCCAGATGAGTGGGCTCTAGGCAAGAAGCTAAGTAGGGATACATGCTGCTTTCCATTACTTAGTGTGAAAAAGAAATTTCCCTACCTGATTAAAAAACTGATGAGGTTCTATGTCAGAAAGTTACTATTTTTGGCACATATCCTGAGAGTTCAGAACTTAAGTCTTCCCTTATTTTAAGCTGTAGAGGAATTTATACTGGTCAAATTAATTCATTATATAAACCAACTTGAAGTTTATGAGGCCTTTTGATTCTAAAGTCCTCCATATGGGATGATTCTTGATATTAGTCAATAGATTCCAGGAAAGGGAAACCCTGTTCTTGAAAATGGCCATTTGCTGCTTGTGCTGAGCCAGCTGCTGTAATCAAAAGGCACCAGGCCCTTCAGTTAAATGTAGTTTCAAAAGGCCTTAAGAGCTGGGTGTGTTGATTTGTATCTGTAACCCCAGCTGAGGCAAGGGGATCTAAAGCTTGACAGGGGATCTAAAATTGGAAGCCAGCATGGGCAACCTTCTGAGACCCCCACCTCAAAATTTTAAGAGATCAATGTTAGAACGCTTGCCTACCATATGTAAGGCCTGGGGCTCAATCCCCAGGAATAGGGTAGGGGTTGTGCCCTCTATGAACAAGGCATATGTATATTCTACTTTCTGCCAGATGTTCTACTCCAATGCAGTTATCCAAAGAGATAGGACTGAACTGGTCACTGGCCAGAAGGCAAGCACTGTTTCTAGGAAGAGTTTGGGAGGTCTGAACTTTGAGTAAACTCACTTGACAGACCTGGCTAGTTAATGGCAACTGCAAAGGACAGCCTTCATAGCAAGAGATAGCTCACTTCTCTGGTTAAGGAAAAGCTGACCTCTAAGCCCTTTCCTGGGAAGCCACAGACAGGCAGACAAGATATTTTTTTCCAATTGACCTTTGTTTTGTCACAGGAACACTCTCAAGATTCTTTAATATGACACTTACTAGTCCGATAGAATGCTGATTTAAAGAGAAACTGATAAAGTGTCAAGGGATTGGTCTGCTAGTTGTCACCAGAATACATTCCTCTAGACCTTGAAGCCTAAGAAACCTCCAGAGGCAGGGCCATAGTTACAGCAGATGCTCTGCAAATGATAGAGCTAGTCATTACAGCATTGCTACATTTCTAGGTCTGCTGTATTCATTCTCAGTGGAGGCCTGTCCTCATCAGGGTCCACCAAGCAGAGCAGAATGAACTACAGAAAAGTTCTAGAACTCAAGTGGGCTATATGCAGATGAGGGATCAGACACATTAATACCAGGGGCTTGT